CTGTGAGGGAAGGAAAGGGCTCATGTTAGGGCGAAATATCTTAAGGGTGGTTCACTTCCATGGGCATATAGCGCACGCTAAGGGGAGGGGTTAAACCCGCTCGCACGATTCTCAAATTCTATGGAAAATGTCGATGTCAGATCGTATATTGGGTACTCAGCATGTGGCTGAATTACGTTTTCCTGATCTAACCTCGCCTTTATGACACAATCAACGTATAGCTTTGCACTGCACTGACCGTGTATGTATAAATATATCATATATATATATATATATTATATACATATCATATAATACAGATAAGCATATACATATATATATTTATATATATATATATATATATATATATATTATATATATTATATATAACATACATACTATATACATATAATTTTGTGTATATATATACATATATATATATATATATATATATATATTATATATAATATATATTAATATATATATTGTATGTATATAAATTTGGATTTGTAACGGATGAAGGGCATTTGCTTAGCGAGGGCCTCGATGCCGACTCATCCCCTCTAAGTAAACCTTTCCAAAGCCGGGAAGTGGGTTCCAGTAAGTGCCTGCGGGAAAGCACACAAGGCTTGGATCGTGTTTGTTTAATGTTTTTTTTTTACTTTTTGAAAACTCGTCAATATATAATTTATGCAAAAAAAAAAAAAAAAAGAAAGATGAAATCCCTTTTCGATATAGGTCTGGTGTTCCTTACTGATGGTGAGGGACAGAGGGTCATGGTATCACTTGTGTTTTCCATTACTTAACGGATAATGTAAAGACTCTTCTTGGCGATGCGGATAATACTACTACTCTTACTGATTAACCGAAATTAAGCTTTCCTTCCGTTATTTTCCTTTCTTTTCATTTCCAGTTGGGAAAAATGACGTAAAATCTTTTTGAAATCGACTCACATTGGAAAACAGCAATCAAATTAACATTTCAAAAATGCTCATCATCACCAGGATTTTTACTTTATTACCAAACAAAAGACGTAAGGAAATAGAACGTACTTTAATTACAATCATCCGTCAATCCTTTAATCTTAACTCAAGCATGGTTAGATCAGCTACAAATATTCAACTACAAGACAAAATGCTAATACTCCTCAGCGTCAGGACAAGTGTATTTTACATCACCTTTAATACTCAGTTGTAAGGAACTAACGTCGATTTAAAAAAAAAAAAGGAAGCCATTTCAGTCGCTACTCTCCGAAAATCTGCTTTAAGTTATGAGTTTCAGGATAAACTATGGTATGTAAATAGGAAATTTATAATCCCTTAGTGTTCTATGGACATATATAATAATGGTATTATTATGGCAGCATCTAAGTCAAGAGCAAAATACGATATTTGCATTTTATAGTTTTACATTCAGACATTCAGAAAACCGTTTTTCATGTTGTAATATATTCTGTTTCATAACGAGTGCTTACATATTGGCTTTTAGTTAAAGTATGTATGTAACGCGAGACAAAAATGAACAGTTACCGATCTTTTCTTTTTTTTGCTCTCTCTCTAGATCTTCCTCCTTTCCTATTCCTCTCCTTCCTTTACTCCGTCCTTTCCTTCTCCCTCTTTCCTTTCCCTCCTTCATTATCCTTTTGTTCCGCCTCTTTTCTCTCCCTTTCCATCTCTACTTCTACTTTTCGCTTCTTATTCACGCTCACACGCTCTCATTTTCACTTTCACTCCCTCCCTCTTGCCTTTCCTTTCTCGCTTTCTCCCCCCCTCTCTTCTCTTTTTAATCTCTCTCCATCTTTCTCTCTCTCTCTCTTTCTATCTCTCTCTATTTTTCTCTCTCTCCCTCTCTCTCTCTCTCTCTTTAATTCACATTCTTACTATCTATTCATACATTTTTCCTTTTTGTTTTTACGTATTCATTTCAAAACAGAACAAATTCCCTCAAAAAGAACAAAATATATAAATAAATGAATAAATAAAAATGAAGAGTGTGTGATAGTGTAGTTGCTGGAGGCAGAGGAGTAAAATCTCTTACGTAATAGTTAGCACTGATAATATATGTTACTGAATATGATTTAATGAAAAAAACGTAAATGTAATCCTTGCTGTTTCATTATAATAAGGGAATACTGGTGGATGGTAGGAAAAACCTTATCATTATAGCTGTCGTTATTATTATCATCAGTGCAAGTAACTTTTCCTTATTGGTTATTATCATCATCACTATCATTACTATCATCATTATTATCACCATAATCCTTACTATCATCATTATCATTATTACTAAAACAATTATTATTATATTATCATTCTTATCATCATCATTATCATCGCTACCATTATCATCACCATAATTAATATTTCTAATCATTACTATCATTCCTATTATTACTATGGTTATCATCATCATAATTCTTTTCATCATTGTTATCATCATTATCATAATTATCACTCAGCTACTCGCGCAAGACGGGAAAAAAAGACAAAGAAAGAGAGAAAGAAAAATCTTTATATTAAGC